GATTCTCACAGGAATCCGGCGGACTATCACCCAAAAGGTCGAGCAACAATATGGCGTCCAGGAAGATCGACGGGAAGGCTACGATGATGACTGGGATGCTGTTGCGGCGGAACTGGAGAACCGGGAATCCAGGCAATCGCACCGGCAGCCCCGCCAGCAGATCTACACCGCGCCTGAATCACCCATGATATCACGACTGGTACGCGGAGATAGCCGGAATGTATCGCAGGACACTGATGTGACATCTGATTTTGGCCAGACATCGGGGAGCCCAGCGCTAGCGTTCCGTCATTGTGACCCAAGCAGCCAGGATGATACCCTAGAGTGCGGCATTGACAGATCATCTCAGGTGTCACGACTCTCGTTAAGTTTCGGCGATTTACAAGGCACGAAAGAGGCGCCCGTAGGACTGTCGGGCAGTTGCGATTATGCAGTATTGGGCATGTGAGGGAAGGGTGGGGACGTCCAAAGGGGGGGGGGAGGGGGTACTTCAGGAGAATTGACGAGGGGGAGAGGGTATTTTAGGAGAATTGACGAGGGGGAGGAATACATGTAATAAGGGAATAAATTGCAGAGAGATGACGTGACGCTGAACTCCATAGACGTCATGTAGCTACTTGTACGAAACTTGAAGTTCACGACGCAATCGTGCACTGTTAAAGAGCCAAAGGTGAAGAAAGCAGAACCAGGCCCAACGGTAGAAATTGTGAGAAAAATGTATCAATCTGGATGTGCGCATGGAGAACACGACACCAGAGCGAAATGGGGGCCGGGCATAGTCCAGATCACAGACGAAATATTCACGGGGTGTCAGGATTTTGGAACCAGATACCATGATATCCGGATCAACCAAGAGTGCTATGTAGACGTCCAGATAGGAGGACGAACATACCAGAACCGCCCAGAGTTGTCAAGGAGATGGGGCGTCGAGTCCAGATAGTGAGGCGCGCAGTTAACCGAGTTAGGAGAGGGGAGGATTCAGTAATTGGGATCAGGATGGAGAACCGGAGGAGTTAGGTAGTTACAGCGCGATGTGCTCAGGTGCCGGGGGATTGGGACGATGAGGGGGTGCGGCATAGACAGTCCGGACGTAGCGGGCGTCGGGAGCGACATCCAGATGGGAGCAGGGCGCGGCAACGAGAAAGTGGGGAGTTCGGGCGCCAGGGCGTTGCGGCGTCGCGTCCTGAGTAATGGTTTGCGTCCTGTGCATCCTGTGCGTCTGACGCACAGGACGCACAGGACGCAAGCATCTTTTTTTGCTGATGTCGGACTACAGTCTCCATGCGTTGTCGTATTTCTGTGAGGGCATTTGAAACCTCTCCGTCGAAAACGCATGATTCCTTCGTCTCGGAGGTTTAGATATGAGCGAGTGGTCTCACCTTGAGCCAACTCGTCATCCTCCTTATTCTGACTGGAGTGATCAGCTCAGTCGAGAGTCTTATCAAATGCCTCGTTGTCTTCACAACTTGACTGCATTGACTTTGAGGACTTTCTGCTACGATCAGACTAGTCAACGTCGTAGGAAAGTTCCTCATCCACAGATAGGCCTCCGGTTGGCTCTACACTGTACGAGCACTAGACTGGGCTCCGTGCCTCGTCCTTACGGGCACGTCCCGATAACTCATTGGACTGTTGGCGATATTGTCCCAACACTTTCTGTCCATGTCCGAGGTGGTCAACCTTGCTTAGCCCGTAGCTCCACGGTTACCTGTCGGATTGACTCCATTCCACTTTTCAGACACGGCCTGAGGTCTCCTCTTATATATCCTGCAAACAGCTTCCAGCCGGATGGACGGCAATGACGTATACGGTGTTATGAAGCATGCTTCATTTTCACCAGTTTGTACTGTCAGGACACCAAATTCCGGCGACACTATTACTGCGTGCAGGGCCAACGGCGGGGCCGGAGGGGGGTGTTGGCTATGAAATCTTCGCGGTTTTCAGGAGGTCTGTGTGCGGGAAGGTCTGTGTGTTCATATGTGTAATATGACAGTGCATGATGATACATAAAATTTAAGAAATAAACCCGAACACCAGATAAGAAAAGCACGCCATAATCCCCTAACCGTATCAAGAAATATCAATGAAATATATGTAATACATACTCCGCTATAGTAATGTCCGTGAACTGGAAATAATACTAAGTAGAGGAATATACGATATTATCAAGGAGAATATACATATGAAACGAATTAGAAAATTCAACAAGTTTTACCGTTTTCTTTTATTCTTTACACTTTTGCAAGAGCTGTGTTCAAGAGATTCGAAGTTTGATGCTGTTGCATTTAGGAATCATCTACCTGAGGGAGCCCCTATTACACGAAATCAGGTGTGCAACTCGCGTCACCTAAGTGAAATCCATGACTCCTAATTTGAGTCATGTGCGAAAATTATAATATAATGTGACTCACAGGTAAACATAATAACCTATAGTGCACTAATGTGCATCATGTGAAATTCCAACATACCTATAGCTCGATATTTCACGCTATGTAAAATCTGCCTTGCTTAGTCACAGTTTGTGACATTAGCTCCCCTCTCTCTCAGCCCGAGTCCCATCGGGCTTACATCAATCTTTCCTCCAATCCCTATGCCCTGTCCGCTGCGAGTCCCTACTTGGTTTCCTTGTTTAGCCAAGTGCTTACTTTCTGTACTCTCATCAGGGCCCTTTTCGCCTCCTTCTCTTCCCTCCTCCAGTTGTTCTGGAGTGCCTTCCTTATCCTGGTCTCCTCCCTCAGCTCGCTCTGGAGCTATCCTATTTTCTCCGCCTGCCATTCTATCACTTTCTTCATTTCTGCCACCTCCGCCAACAATTTCATTATCGTCGTTTCTGGTTCCTCTTTTTCCATCTCTTTTTCTCACGAGATGTGTCGCGTTTTCCTGGGTTTCGCCCATTTCTGTTTCTTCGCCCCCCTTCTCTTCAACTCCATCCTCGGAGTCGGTTGGATGTATCATACTAGAGCCACTGGCTCTGGGGTCGGGGATCTCGCTGGTAATCCCAGGGGTAATATTTTGGGTGGCCATTAGTTCAATTCCCGCGGTGTCACGGCCACCCAGGGATGGAGACGGAATATGCATGGGGGTTCAGTTACATTTATTGGTTGGGGTTTCCTAGTTGCTAGGTGAAGGATTCTTTTTGTGCTTTGATTGGTATACATTGCCGCAGGACGGAGCTTGATAGAACATAATGGAGTTATTGCAGCTGCGTGTAACGCCAAGGGTTTTCTTTTGTATCAGTAACCAGGGAGGATTTCCTTTTATATAAGGGGGTGTGCCCCCTTATATTTTATGTTCTTTACACAATCTAGTAATCCCCTTTGGACACCCTTTCTTCCTCGCCCGTGGGCCTGGGGGCCTTCTTTGTCATGGCTCCCCTTGGGAATTCCCTCTGGCTTCTTTGATGGTAACGATCATCGCTTTACAGTTGGACCTTCTTTTCGATTAATGCATATTGGTAGTGGTGTTCCCTGACGTTCTTGTTTCCTCCCAGGTTCTGCTTTCATTTTATTGGTTTAGGGGGGTTGCCTCCCTGGTTTCCCACGGGATCACAGGTTTGAGACTGGATAGCTTGGGTTTGCTTTCGCTGACATCCTTTCTCCACTGTTGGCTGAGGGCTTCGGCTCCTTGGTTTTACATCGATAAGGTTCGAATCCCTCTGTCGCTCGTCGTCTACACCTCATTTCTTCGTCCACCCATTTCCTGTGATACAGTGCAGTTGTGGGCATTTACGCTGTCTTTTGGGTCTCCTCCCCGCCCACATGTGTGGTAGGGACGGCCCCAACCCTGAGATTTGTCTCTCCCTCCCTGATTTATTTGGAGTGGTGTGGGGTGATTCGCTCTCGGTCCTCCCTATGGGAGCTGATGTGTGCCGGCTCGGTTGGGAACCTTGCTGTGGCTGGGGTTGGCGGTCATACCCATTGCAAGTATAGCACTCCTACTTGGTAGCTGGGGACCTGGTTGGGTTGTTTCGGGTTGGTGTGGACCACATCTGACCAAGGGCCTTGTGTGGCCAAGGGTTGGCTCTGTGGCGTAGGGACTTTCTACTGTAGTGGGTTTTTTTTTGTTGGGTTTATGGGACGGTATTCAGACCGGATTGGATATTTTTATACTTTGTATTTGTCGTAGGCCGTAACTACCTTCGCCTTGCTTAACATGACCAAGGACTTCGGTCACTCTGTTTATCTTCAGTTGGAAGTTGGTTTGTCGGTTGGGGCGGAGGAGGCAAGAGTCGCTAATGGGTTCTTGTACTTAGCTTCCGTATTTGCTTGCTTGCGGAGGTGTTTAATGGTTGGGACTTGGAGGCTTGGGTGCTTTGGCTGGTAGTTGTTATTTGGAGGATCATGATTTATGGGTTACAAGGGATGTTAGACTAGATCATATGCCTGATTGCGGTGGCGCAACTAGTATAAATAAACTTCGATTGAATTTGGACACCTGTACCTAGGAATTACACTCTCTACCATCTGGCATCCTCTTGAACCCCTGAACCCTGACCCTGAACCTCTGAATCCCGAACCTCATACAACTCGCTTCGGTTGTGCCCCCGCATCTAGACCTCGTCTCCAGAATCCTGTCTGTCCTGATCGTAGTATGCCTTGAGCTACCCGACCCTCAGACCCTGTCCATTACACATTTCTACCAAATAAGGTCCTACTAAGAGTAGGTTATTAACTATAGGTCAAATCAAAAATTGTCTAAATTAGACTAGAACTGAGTGCAATTGAGGTCTTTGAAGTTTATTTTCAAATCACTCTTGCTCCCTTACTGTAGTTTTACTCCAATTTCAATGATTTTTTTACTTAGTTATTCTGACTAACCTAGGTTATTTTATCCCTGCTCTTCAGAACCAGTATCTCATAATAAAGACCAATCAGGATAGATAATACTACAAGTATATTTTATATTACCTATAAATTATACCTAGTTTCAATTGTACCTCTACTCTAATCTCTCCCTTCTGCTTATATCTACTCCTATCATTTTACTAGGCCAGTACCTCTACTGGCAACCCTTTCCAAATCCTCAAAATTGCCCCCAAATCCCTCTTCCCAAACTCTAACTGCACTTCTAATACAACCTTCAAGCAAAACCATCCCATCCCAGCACCATCCACCTACTATCCAAACTCCGTCATCTCCATTCCTCCATCCTCCCTTATCCTCACAGCTTCCATCCAAAAGTGCATTTACGATCCTCCTACTTTTAGGTGTTCTCAACACTCTTGTATACTCCGCCTCAATAATTACTTCATTCTTTCTTGGCAACAATGGTGGTGTTGTACTAACCATAACTCCACCATGTATCTCTGTTGCACTAGTAAGCCTGCTTGTTGTTATGAGTTGTACTGGAACATGGTCTTTCCTTCTCATGAAAGATGAAGAGAGGTCGGGGTAGGAGGGCGTTAGTATTGTTCTATCAGTGTGTGCATAAACCTTTACCTTAGTTGTTGGTATCTGTAATAGTTGTGGTGCTAACGGAGTATATATGCCTGCAACGATGTCAGGAGGTACAGCAAAGATTACCGCATCTGCTACTTCTTCCTTCCCACCACTCCCATGCCAACATATATTAAGGCCCTGCGGGGTCTTGCGGACCCTGCTAACGCGGCGGTTCAGCTGGATAGGGATGCCAGAAAGAAGCCGTCGCCGGATAGTGCTCACACCACCGGCCACAATATAGTTTCTGCGAAAGAGTAGCTTGCGACAGTATGTTATTACGTCCTGAGCTGGGAACAAGAGTAATTCCGCAGAACTACAGGTTCCAACTGCACCGAACATTGGCAGAAAGTAGTCCTCTACTGCCCATCCCGGTAACCGACTCCGGTGCAACCAGGATGATAGTGTTTCATTCTCATGTGGATGAAGAAGCAGGATGTAAAGGGTGAAGCAGGAGTATGCTAGGTACAACATTGCTAGTGCCATGATATGGGAAAGCAGGCTGACATCAGGTGCAGGCAAGGGGAGGGCATGGAAGTTGCTGGAGTGTGCGTGATAGGTTTTTGGTTGCGATTGAGTAGAGGAGAGAGTGGTGAAGATAAAAGTAAACTTTTGCACACGGATTGGGAGGTTCAAGTGTTTGTACAGGGTATATAGCGTGCTATAGTAGGTTTTTGAAAATGTCCGCATAGGAATGTCAATTTCCGAGCCGAAGTTGGTAGGAAGGGTCGTTGCATCTAGTGATGGGCGGGACCCCTTCATTCATTCATCTGTCAGTACGGAGGATGTGTGAGTGGAGAGGGGGAAAATGGGAGACGGGATACAGATTCGAATATTTCGACACTATATTCGCACTTTGGATCGTTGTGGAGGAGATATGCTGCTGTTAGCCCTGCGAGACCTGAGCCAATTACCACCACCCGTTTCTTTCGTGGCGTTTGAGTTGTCATACTGGACTTGTATTGATGTCGTGTCGTGTGATAGCAGAGGTGTAGTAAGAAGCAGGCGCGGGTTTACTGCAAAGAGTGGGAGAGAGGAGGAACCGGTAAATAAATAAAGGATGAAGGAAGTCACCTTCTTCACAATTCTAGTATTCTTTTTCTTTGCTACCTCCTCCTTTTTTTTTTACCTCCACAACTACAATTCCGGTAACTCGACCGGATACTATTCTGTATCACGGCTTATCATAATATGTTCCATCAGGTCTCATACATCGCGTTCCGGCCATACTCTACGAGTAAACTCTTTCACATACTTTCCCGGCGGGTTCCAACGGGAGAGCTCAGACTGCTTTATGTCTCATACGGCACCAGCACGATACGGTAGGGTACTCCAGCAGTACCTCCTTCCCTCTTCTACCGTATCCACGAGGGTTCTATGCCTATTCAAGGCTGTCGACCCGGTGGGAATAGGGAGATTTGTGAGTGCAATAAGATAGAATATCCGGGTATATGCCAGCTAGATATCTGTTTACCGTTGAGATTGTCATTATATCAGTGATAAGCCAACAGATCAGTTTTGACCGGCGGCACAAGTGGAGCTGAACTGATTATAATGCCAAGGTTAACAATGGTAAAGGGGAATTGCTGAGAGCGGTTTGTTTGGGGCTTGATCGTCACTGGAGTGCGCTTAGTCTTGACGATTGGCCCGTACCCGTTGAGAGCCATGTTGCAATGAAAGGGGGGGTTATAGATGAACCTCTTCTAACAAAGGAAAGAAAGTATATTACCATACAAGCACCTGCAAACTTGGTGAGTATCTAGACGCTTTACGGTACAGTACTTGTAATGCTAAAGTTCTCAGAAGGCCCAAAAACTTGGCACCATGGCCCCAGATACCTTGAAATCCCTGAGTACCTCTAGTGCTTCCCAGGGACAAATAGGCATTTTGGTTTCGAATTCGCGTGTAAGGCGACAAGTATTGCTCTTACAGGAATCTTTGGTAATCCGCACTACTCTTCGAACCCCCACTCTTGAATCCCCATTTTCAGAAGCCCCAATTCAACCTCCCCCCCCCTTCTAACCCGGTTTTGATCACCGGAGGCCTACTTTGCAACATTGGTTGAGAGAGTCACTGCACTACCGGTAGTACTGTACGAGTATGGCACTCAGGCATGGCGGTGGGTGATCGGATGGCCAGGGATTCCGGAGGGCCGAGCATACTCGAGTACTGCCCGCCGTCATAAGAAAAATAAAAGAAATGAGCCCGGAGTGGAGATTGCTCAGGCGTGCTGGAAGCTTTGGTACTCGTGCCAAGGTTGTGACTAAGCGTCACAACCCCCGGCTGCTCGGTCGCAACCGGGGGCACTCTAAAGAGTGCCCGTCAGCTCAACATGACTTGACAGCTCAACATGACATGTGGCTCAACACAAATTTTTGTGGCTCAATACAAATTTTTGTGGCTCAACACAACTTCTTGTGGCTCATCATTGTGGCTCAACACAACATTGTGATTCAATATAGCTTTATTGATTGGTACAACTTTAACCTTGTAGCTCTATAGAGCTTGATAGTTCAATTTAATCTTGTAGCTCAATAGAGTCTTATAATTCAATTAAACCTTGAGCTCAATAGAGCCTTATAGTTCAATCAAACATTGAAGCTCAATAGAGCTTTATGGTTCAATTAAAGCTCAAAGTTCGATAGAGTCTTATAGTTTGTTAACCATTGAAGCTCAATGGAGCTTTATGGTTCAATTAAACCTTCAAGCTCAATGGAATTTTATAATTCAATTAAATCTCATAGCTCAACTTGAATGGCACTTGATAGTTCAATTAAGCCTTGTAGTTTAATAAGGTATTACCATTAAGCCTTATTGTAATTGTATTGGTGAAAATTGTATGTAAATCCTATTGTAGAGAATATTTTATTTTATATTTACTTATATAAAAATCAGAGCTCAGATTCTATAACTTATAAGTACTCACAAGCTTTCTTTTCAAATATATTCTACTCAATATCAGTCAAGTCAGTATCTTTCCAAAGCTCAGCTCTAATTGTTTTCTACAAAGTACATTTCCTCTTATCTCTCTGTAAACATGCCTCCAATACGTCCAATTATACTTCCTAGTCAACGCGTTGAACCTTATAAGGATATCGAGACCAGAATCCAGGCTGCTCTCGCATCTCTCGATGGATTGGAAGCTGAGACACCAAACCTCAGAGCCTTAGCTCACAAGTACGAAATACCAGCATCACGACTTCGTGCACGCTGGCAAGGTGTTCCATCCAAGCAAGATCGAGAGGCCACAAATTGAAAACTTTCCGAAGACCAAGAATTTGCTGTCTGTCAATATCTCGATCGTCTTGATGCTGTTGGAACTAGTGCTTGTCTTCCTATGGTGTCAGGTTGTGCGAATACGATTCTTCAATATGGTCATACTGGTCCTTCGCCTGCTCCTGTTGTTGGTGACCGCTGGGCACAGCGTTTTCTTGCTCGACATCCTGAGTACTCTATTCGAAAACAACATACTGTTGATGTTGACAGAAAGAATGCACACCAGCCAGCTGAAATTCGTGACTGGTTTGAATGATATAAGGCTATTTGTGAGAGATATCATATTGAGGAAGGCGATCGGTACAACTTCGATGAAACTGGATTCCGGATTGGGATTGGACGAGATCAGTGGATCATCACACGGGATCCTTCACGACAGTCATACCTTGGAAGTTCAACCAATCGAGAACTTCTTTCAGTTTGCGAAACAATTAGTGGTAATGGTACTGTCCTCCCACCCTTGATCATTATCCCAGGTGTCATTCACCAAGAACCCTGGTATACAGCCACCAGCATACCAGATAATTATCTTGTCGGAACATCAGAGACTGGCTATAGTAATGATGAATTATCAATGAACTGGTTAGCACATTTCGAAGCATTTTCTGAGCAGCGGAGGATTGGAGTTTACAGGCTCTTACTGCTTGATGGATTTGGCTCCCACTGCACTAAGCAGTTTATTGATTACTGTGATAATCATAAGATTATCGTATTCTGCCTACCTCCTCACACAAGCCACCTGCTGCAGCCACTTGATGTTGTTGTATTTCAGCCATATAAGCATTACCATGCTGAGGCTGTTGAAGCCGCAACCCGTACTGGTTGTGGTGAATTTGATAAATTGGAGTTTCTTGATATAATCGACTCTATTCGGCAACAGACATTTAAGCCATCAACAATCCGGTCAGCATTTAAGGCGACTGGACTGATTCCCTACAATCCTGATATTGTAATCTCCAAGCTGCGCGAAGCTGTAGCTCGTCCACCTCCACCACATACCCCACCGCATCAATCCTCACCAACTGTTCCACTGACGATCCGAAGCCTGAGACGAATGGGAGAAGAGCTGCAGCGCGATGCACGTGATTTGTCTCCGACATTTCAGCGAAGACTAAAAATGGTCCTGCAAGGTGGATTAGGACAGGCACAATCTGGTGCATTAGCAATGAAACACATGGAGAATACTCGAGCTGCTGAGCAGGCAAGAGCAGCCAGGCGCAGAGCTCAGAGCTGCCGGCAAGTACAGAAAGGAGGAGTGATCTATGCCTCAGAAGCCCGTCAAATGGCAAAGAGTCGTGAAGAAGCTGAATTGGAAAAGGCAGAGAAACAGCTCCAGCGAGCTCAAAATGCTAAAAAACGGTTAGAGAAAGCAGAACGAAAGCCTCTGCTTGATGAGATGAAATTAGAATTCAAAAAGAGACAGAATACACAAGCTTATAAAAAGAAAATATCAAAGCTTATAGTTATGGGAATCAAAAGGCAAGTAAAGTCAGGAAAAATAAATGTAAACTAGAATGTTTTACATACTAGACTTATAATGTTATATATTGAGCCACAATGATAAGCCACAAAAAGTGCTGTTTTGAGCCACAAAAATTTGTGTTGAGCCACATGTCATGTTGAGCTGTCAAGTCATGTTGAGCTGACGGGCACTCTTTAGAGTGCCCCCGGTTGCGACCGAGCAGCCGGGGGTTGTGACGCTTAGTCACAACCTTGGCACGAGTATGAGGCACCTAATCCCTGACCGTCCACCTCCCCTAGCCATTAGGATACAAGTTGTTAGGGCTGAACTACTGTAGACAGTTCTGTGCTGTTGTTGCACATCCTCTCGGATGAGTTGAACCTGCCAAGTGCACGGGAGGAACCACGCAGCATCACCACTCCTGCACCACCACCACCACCACCACCCCCACCACCGCCATAATGCCACACTTCCATCCACTCCGACCCCTCCTCACAAAAGCCCCCCACCACCTCCGCCGCCAATTCTCAAGCACCCCCCCAAACCACTTGATCCCCGCAGTCCTCTCCACAACCCACGATCTCCTAACGGCCCTCCATACGAGCACCCACCTTCCCTACCACACCCTAATCCCCCTCTCAGCAATTCTCCTCCGCCTAGCCATAACAACCCCGCTGACAGTATACTCCCGCCGCCGCGCCCTCCGTACTCAACGTCTCCAACCGATCCTAAGCGCGTACCAGCACCCCATCGCCAGGGATGCCAAGAGCACTACTACCACGCCGCAGGCATGGGAATTGAAGACTCGCAAAGAAATACGCGAGAAGAGGAGGGAACTCTGGAAGAGATGGGAATGCCAGGCTTGGAAGATGCTGTTGGCGCCTGTCGCTCAAATACCGGTCTGGGTCACGGCTAGCATGACTTTGAGGGGGATGACGGGAGTTGAAGGGTTACCCACCTGGTTGAGGGGGTTAGGAGATATTGGTGGAGAAGCATGGGTAGAGGAGGCATTGGCGACAGAGGGTGCGCTGTGGTTTGGGAACTTGCTGGCCGCAGATCCATACTTGGCTTTGCCAATGGGGTTTTCGTTCTTGCTGTTTGCGAATATCGAGGTGTGTCTTTTTAATCCTCCATCCCTCGTGCGCGAATGGCGAAAGGGAGGTTAATTGCGTGTAGATGCAAACAAAATTGCACCCCCCGGGTACGCGGAGGCAATGGGTTTTTACAAATGTTCTTAGGATATTGTCTCTCGCGGCATTCCCACTTACTGCAAATGCTCCGGCCGCGTTGTCTCTCTATTGGAGCACGTCTGCCATGTTCTCACTTGTCCAGAATCTCATTCTAGCAAAGACCATGCCGAGAGGGGAGGAGTTGGAACCGTGTAAATCCCAGGACCCATACGGCATTGGCGACAAGGTTAGAAAATAGTGGGTGGGATTGGAATCGGTGCCTGGTATCTATGTGGACTACCTATTCTACTAGACTGAGAAAAACGGGGAAAAGAAAGGAAAGGAAGGAGGAAAACGCCCGACCAGAACGGAGTGGAGAATAGGAGAGGATAAGAGACCAGCATCAGCCAGTCCGCTCCAATTGTAGCAGCTTGGCCATTGCTTCAAGCCATTTCTCTGCAAAAACTTTCTCCGTGAACCTCCCTGCACTCTTACGAGCTGCTTGTCGAACCTTGGCCACCTCCTGACCCTCCAGCTCGAGAGCTTTCCTGTATCCATCCGCAAACTCCTCCTTCGTCGTCGCGTGAAATCCTGTGCCGGGAATGACAATATCCATCTTCGGCCCTCCGCTGTTGTGTACAACGCTGATGAGACCAGCGGCTTGGTACTCCACCACCCCGATACCAAAGTGCTCATTCCACATGGCATTTACTCCAATCCAACTCCTTCCCAACCATTGTAATATATCACCCCAACTCGCGTCACAAACAAACACAACCTTATCCTTGATTCCCTTTTCATGTGCGAGTAACCGTAGATCATAGACCCTAGTCCTATCCTCCGAATGACGCACACTTCCAATAAGGACTAATTGCGTGTCGTTAAGACTAGGATTCTCCCGCAAGAAGTGAGCAAACGAATCAATTATTAGATCGTGCTTCTTCTCCGGCCGGAACTGGGCAATGCACAAGATGACCTTCTCCCTCTTCATCTCGATACCATTCCTACTGAGTGGTATTGCATCTGTAAGAGCTTCTACTGCCACCGGGGGAAAGACGACGGAAATAGTGGACATCCTATTCGACCACAGACTGCGGAGATGTCCTGCTGTCCAGGATGAATTGCACATTATCACGTCGATGCCCTTTCCGCAGAGGCCGTAAAGTATAGCAAAGAGTTTCCAGTACAAGAGCTTAACCCTAACTCGTGTGCCAGTGGAGGAGGAAATACTAGACAACATGTCTGTAGATATGGTAGGGTAGTGAACGTATGCGCCCGTCGGGATTCCAAACATTAACTTGGCCATGGGAAGAGTAAACGCGTAGCCCATCGTATCGATGAATATGTCCGGGACGAGTAACGTAAATGCATCCCAGGCGAGAATCAAGGACCCGAGAGATTGTCCAAGGAGTGTAAAGTGGGGGTAGGTAGTGGCGGAGACGTAGTGCCTGGTTGATAAGAAGAGGAATACAACGCGTGAGTGATCGAGGTGGATGTCGAACCTGGACTATGTAATAATACTATCAGCAAGCGGGGTACGGGGTGCGAGGTGCAGTCAAACTACCTTGACTGTAGATAGTATCGTCTCCTTGTCGGCATCCTGATCTCCAGTATACACTGCGCACAACACGTCGTCCCACTTTTCCTGGGTGGCTCGAATAGCGGCCCACAACACCCGCTCACCTCCGCCTCCAGCATTACTACCCTCTCATTAGTTTCTGCCCCATACACTGCATCTCCGTAGTCTCACCAATAAGGGTGAAAGAACCCAACGACGGTCGCTTTCCTCTCGCCAAAAGCGCTCCTGGTAATGGTTGCCTTCTTAACCATGCTCCGTCGCCGGAGGTTGGAGCCGATGACGCGGAGGAGAAAGTAGGAAAACAGCACGGGGGTTAAAAGAACAACCCCGGCTGTCACTATATGTGAGAGCATCGTGATTTCTTGGTTGTGGTGTGTGTTGCAAACTGGTTGTGATGAGGATCCCCGAGTTTCAGTTAGGTTCCACACATGCCTGAGCTGATGTCATAAGCTATGATACACGAGTACCGATATTAAGCCACCTTACGGGTTAGGAGGGGAGGGGTTTGGAAAGAGTTTGAATTTTTGGTTAGGTTGGAATAACAGTGATGGATCCAATGGGGACCTTTATTAAACTCCAGTGCGAGCAATTTTTTGGACATTTTTACACGAAGCTATAATAGGCGTTCTGCGGTCCTTCTACCGGCATTAAATTTGCCCGATATTAATATTACAAATTTGAACCGTGAAAGGGGGCCAGAGAATGCTTAACCCTGATCACTATTTCTCACTCGTCAGGACGAGCGACGGAGTCAGGAGCATCTCACTCCCTGGGGTTTTGCGTTTGGGAAAGAATGGGCCGGTCACATAATAGTCTTGTATGGACTGGCATCTGCTTCTTTGCATGATACAAAATAATCCCTCAAAACTCAATTTTCACCCGTACCACCGCCACCACCACCACTACCATCTTCGGAGCGAGTTCCCCCCCCACCTCTGACAAAGCCTAGTAGGCTCTGTATTATGCTACTTGTCCCACTCTCATCCGCAGCGCTCTCGCCATTGTTATCCCCAATCGCAACATCCCCATCCGCCGTGTTCTCGCCTGTAGTGTTTCCATCAGAGGCGCTTGCAATCTCCAGAGCTAGCTGTTCCATCAACTGGCGAAACTCTTCCTCCTCAACATCTTCAATATCCCCTCTGTCCCCGCCCGCGGCCTGTGCCCGCCCTAAGATAGGGGACACTGAGGAAATAAGATTCTGTAGATACGACAACGGAGGCCCCTCAATACCATCCTCTGGAGGAAGGGGGTCGTAACTGAGTGTAGGTACCCTGGCCCATTCTCGGGGAAGGTATTGTATTAGGCTCCGACTGCCGGTTGATAGTATATGACGGGCAACGTCGATGCTAACACCATCAAACTCATCCACGCTGGAGGGTTCCCTTGGCGGTGCGCGGAATGACTTTTGCGGGAGCGAGTATATCGAGGCGACTACATCTGCCAGCAACTGTTTTGTGTCCGCACCTTTCCAGAGGTCTTTTGTCCGCTCGACAAATAGTTCGGATAAGATGTTGTGCAGTGCATCTGGTGGGAGAATCTCCGCCGCGAGGGGGGTGTTGGGCGGGTGCCGAATGCTCAGTTCGATGGATAGCCTTTTGAGAACCCATGGGAATCGAGTGATGGCTTTGGCCAGGTACTCCCTCGCTAGTGCATCCTTTCGAAGCTGGTGATATGCTAGTGCTGTTGAAAATGCGATATTCGGAAGGTGCGCATGACGCTTGATGAATTCCGGATGCTCGACGAGTGTCAAAAACCTCTCTGGCTGCCGAGCGTTCAGTGACAGCATATCAATAATCAGACAAACTTGGTAAGGATCTCGTTCAGGATCTAGTGCAAGTAGCATTCGTCCAAACTCTTCCGCCGCCCTCCAGGTCCCACGCATAGCGAGATTGAAAATGTACCGCCAACAAGCGAGCCAGAATTCGCGGTTCTCTGGAAGAAGGAAGGAGAGGCGGGCCTTTCCCTCCGAGAGCCTTGCACCGAAGACAGAGTTCACCGAGCGGCCAAAGGTGAAGAGGGCTCTCTCAAGGACATCGCCAGAGCCTTCATGATCTCCCTGCTGCGACAAAATTTCGGATACTTGAAGAAGCGTAGCGATGTGGTATGGATTGTGATGTAGCAACTGTACCATGCGATCAGGATCTATTCAATTAGCTAGGGGTCATTCCGCAGCTCTGAAGAACTCACCCATCGACTCGACACAAATCTTGAACTGCCTTTGCACATCCTGGTAGGCAGTCGAATGCACAAATCTAAACTCGGTGGGACCACCGTCCAAGCCAACGCTAACGATCTCCATACCCAGCCCACCGCTGGTAGCATTCGGCCAGGTGCCCTTCGGTTGGATAAAGATATTCCGACGGCTGCTAACTATTCGGCCATCACGCCCCCTCATACCGCCCCTCTGCCTTCCTCCTCTTCGGCCTTGGAAGGTTCCCCCCGTCGGTTCGGGCATCGCGGCTCGGCCAAACAAAATCCTCATCTCAGCGTTCGCATCAAAGTTTCTCGACTCGACCGCGAGCACTGAATCGATGGGCACCACTTTGGGTTGCAGACTCCCCGATCTCGGAGCCACGAGTTCACCAAATTCGGCATGGTGAAGTTTCCCCTCGCTCTTAACCGCTTCAGTTGCCCTCGATTTCTTCTTTTTCTTCTTGTTCCTGTTCTTCTTTTTTGCCGGGCTTTGCTCGGGGTTTCCCTCTTCCTCTTCCGTTTCTCCCTCTTCCAGTCCCTGGTCGCCGTTGCCGTCCTCATCCTCTACTTCTCCCAGCAGGGCAAACAAGCTCGCTTTGCTTGGCGCCGGAGCCTCATCTTCCGAAGCAGGGTCATTGGTGGTTTGTGATTGCAAAGTGAGCTCCTGATCACGGAGGGCCCTTCGTGCGCGGGCAGACATTGCGTTTTTATCTGAGGCGTGGATTTTTTCTTCCTTCCAAGTGGTGAACTATTGCGAGTTTAACGGTGTTTAACGGTCAGGGCGCGGTTTTGGTGGGGGACTTGGGGATACGGTGCCGTAATCTGGGGAGGGTAGTCTACGCCAGTCCAACAAGTGGGGAGGCTGTGGCTTGAAGCAGGACAACCCGGCGCATTCTTGGCGGGTCAGGCCAACTGAGCAGAGTGTAGGGACCATACCGGTAGACTAAGTTGAACCGCGAGTGCGAGTGCGAGTGCGATAGGGTAAAAACTCTTATTATAAAATCCATTGCCCTGCTACGTACGAGTATGATACAGTACAGTAGGCCTCGAGAAGGAACAGGGTTTACCCGACGCGGTAACTTATGCCACGAGCCAGCTGAATTCGCATCAACTTGTTCTGGTAATTTAGTTAACCTGTTCAGATAGGCCATCAGTATTGTACCTGTATAATCCTCGATTACCGTTACTTGGACGAGTACTTGTACTGGGGTAGCATTGTTGCTACTCGAGTATTACGAGCTACTTGTGGCACAAGTACCGGTAGTCTACCGTACCCGCACCGTATGATAGCGGATTGTGTGAACAAATGGGATACCAGTATGATGGCACCAGCCACAAAGAAATCGGCCCACTGGGGATTCTACCGGAATGGTGTCGGTAACGGCACCGCTGTGCTGACGGCTGGACTAAAGATTCGTCATGGGAATGTAGGCGCCTGTCACTGGCAAGTACCCGTACTACCTATTTTCAGATCCGCTCAGCGATAGTGTGCACTAAGTTACCAGTGCCGGTAGCAGTGACTCAGTTTGAATACGGTACTCGAGTACAAGGAGTGGGCCCCACAGGCTCCTCGGAGGGAGGGAAGGGCTGACTACGGTACGGTACCCGTGCCATATGGAGGAGTCGCACGGCGTATTGGAACACAGGCGCAGGCACAGGCACAGGCACAGGCACCGGTACTGCAGTCACTGAGAAGGATGATGACCTACCTCTATGGGCAGGAGCCCAAGCCAAAATTAAGAAATAGACACTCTCTGCAACCAACCGCGTTTTGTCGGAACGGAATTGCCGAAGAACCATCACTGGTAAGGGAAAGGGATACAAGGGATAGGATACAATACCGGTACGGCTCTCGTGCAAACACCGCGGGGTCTAAGAGAGACATAAATTTCAGGAACGGGTCTGTCACCATGTCGTCTGCAATTGGGACGGAATTCCCTTCCAGCATGTATAAGTTTATGACTCAAAGTCTGAACGGTGAACGGAGCCCGGATTCTCCTTTCACTTGGAGATTGGGGAAGAAGGGGTGGGTTATGTTGGAACAAGCAATACCGGTACCCTGATTCTCCCACCTGCCGGACCATCGTTTGATGCCGTTTTCCCTATCCAAACATGTGTAGGAATGGGTGAAGGGCTGTCTTGCACAGTTTAATCCAGAATATATTGTGGCTATCTAATGCTTCCCCCCCCCTTTTTTGTTTCCGGATGACATTCGTACCACATTTGTGGAGTTTTGGTCAATCGCGGACTCTAGTATTGCACATTATTTTACCCAGAGTTCGGAAGCCAGTACGGTGGGTGTGATCGCGAAAACGGCTCAATCAGCTCAAACACTTTGAGATGGAATGAGCCAAGTGTGGTGGAGGACCAGGCTAAATGTTCACTTTATACCTGATGGTGCCACCCCTCGACAGTTGGACACATGGAAATGATATCTCATGCAGAACGTGTACCGTATGAGAAGTAGCGGGTAGGGATGACTCGACCTTGGCGCCATTTCAGAACTGGGAAGCATGGGAAACCTTGTTGGTGGAAAAGGCGTTTGATATGATACCTGCCTGGAACTGTTACTTCTGGTTTCGAGTCCGTTTGCTGACGTTCGATCGTATTTTGGTGCCGCCGGATTCGAATCTGTTGGCCCACGGAAATGGGACAAGGGGAGAATCCGAAATAGAGAGGTTGGAAGAGGTCATATATGCGGAGGGTGTGAGGGGGGACTGGGACCGCCGATTCGTTTGCCGGTGAGGATAGATAATCCCGGACATGTAGACTTGCAATGTGCAGATAACGATAAGAGACTGCAACGATGAAAGTCGTTGGTTGCCGTAACACGTGCACGGTACGAGTACCGTAGCGGTACTGTGCTGTATCTTTCAATGAAAGCTTCATAGAATCAGATGAAGGTTTGGATATTCTAACGGTGATTGATGGGTAGGGCCTAGGATCCTTAAAGGGTCCAAAAAAATTTCTTGTTTGTGCCACTCTTCTGCTTCCCCATAAGGCACTACCGCCCAGACGGGATGAAGCAAGAGAAGCCAACCCATAATTATCCCCCCTCCCTACGCAACCAAGCAATCATCCCTCTGTTGCGTCAAGTCCCTCTCCTCCATCTTCAACAACACCCTCCCACTCCCCCACCCCCCTCTCTACCCCCGCTGACAACTCCCATCACTAGAGCCTCCCCCGTTCCTTCTTTTTCCCCAGCTTCCCCAGCCTGTATTGTTCTGCCCACATTCCCACACCGTCTGTGTCGCTATCTTCCCCATCCCTCGATAGCTACCCGCGGGGGGTTTGCGGTTATGGCCACCGACGTGTCCCGTCATCCTGCCACCGGATCTAATGCATGTGAGTGCCTATTTTCATCTCTGCTTCCATCGCTTTTTTTTTTTTCAAGGGTTCTCGGAGCTAATCCCTTCTCGCCTTTTGTAGCCTCTGGGAATTCCAAGGAACATCAGCAGCACAAAGGCCGGAAGCCCTTCAGCGCGCTGATGAAGCGGCTTGCAAACCTCAAAGGCTCCAACTCGAACCACAATTCGAATAACAATACTCCCCCCACAAGCCGGATCGGTGGTGGCCAGCGCTCGGCTTCTTGTCAGTCGGTTCCCCCAAATTATCCCTATTCGTCGAAACCACCCAAGGATACACTCCCGCCGCCCTCCAGCTCCTCGTCGGCCGTTGAATCGTCGCATCTGTCATTCGCTGTAGCTCAAGGATCCCAGGAGTCTAGTCACTCTGTTTCAAGTACAAATTCCAATCACCCATCTACTCATCATTCACTTACCCATCCCCCATCGGACAAGTCCCATCCCGCTCCGTCAAACACTACAGCAACGACATCAGCCTTTTCTTCCCCGACTCCCTCTGTGCGCTCACTGACCACTACGTTAACAACCATACAATCCACCGCGCCAGGTTCCCTTTTACACACAAACTACAATCCCCATCCAAATCACCACCATAATCCCCACGGCCCCCCTGTGCTTTTCCAGCACCAATTTCCGTCTACCCCGAATGCCAATGGGCCACCAACGAGCCCCAATCCAATCGCTCACCTGAATGGTAACTCGCTGCATCCTCTAAATTATAACACGGCTACGGCGAATAATCTCCTGACGGACAACGCTTCAATTATTACACTTGCGTCCTCATCTAAGCGCCGGCGTCGTCATTCATTGGATACTGATGCATCTGTTCGCGCTCTCGCGCCGTCTTCTCTGTGGGGCGGTTCAAGGGAATCGCTCCCGCTTTCCGTTCTGAGTGGTAACTTTGACGTCGGCCGGTCGGTTGCAGGCGAACGCGGTAGTTTGTATGGGAGCACTTCATTTGCGTCGAGGGGAGGCGATGCGGGCAGTGTGCGAGACTACAGTTCTGGAAGCATTATGGGCGAGATTTCTGGAACCCCTGGTAATACTGGCACCACAGTAGCTGCTGCAGGGAGTCCTTTGGGAAATAGGGAGAGTCTCCAGCTAGGTCGTACTAGTAGACGGAGCAGTGGATGGGGTGCTGAAACTATCAACCCTAGCGACGACTGCGATGACGATGACAGGAGAAGTCTAAGTGCCTGGAGTGCGGGCTTAAAGGTTGATAATGAAACCGACGCTATCAGTATGAAGGACGGGAGTGGCAATGCGGGTGTCTGGCATGGCGTGCCCGGGAAGGTTGAGGGCAGGGATGAGAGCGGCGTCGAGAACGAAGGGGATAAGGGAACCAAGGAGGATAAGCAGTAAAAAAACAGAACAGAACCCCCTGAGCATACGGCTTTCCATTTGGTTACTGAATTTTACAACCTTCCTTTTCTCATCCCACAAACCTTATAATTGAATTCTCCTCGTGGGATGTATGGCTTGTTTAGAGACAGGTTTATAATTTGGGATTCCTCAACATTTTTCTTCCCCCCCTCCGTTAAGGATTCCAACTACTAGGTAACCTTTAACGGGTAGGCTCTGTGGTTTCTCTTCTTCCTTTCTTCACTTTTTTCGCCTTTTCAAATTTTTTTTTGCCCGGTGCCTTTGCTTTTTCCTATTTCTCCCTCCCTTATTATGCTGCTTCTTCTTGTTCTTATCACCGCAATACAATACCCTGGTGCGGGCTCTCCTGCACCAGCTTAGCTCTTAGTATGTCGTGATCATGCCTTCCGCGCTTTAAACGGAGAAAATGGAAATTTGGAGTTGATTTTTTTTAATTTTTTTGTCTTCTTTCCCTCTAATATTATGGTATTCGGCCAACCACCGTCATCTGAGGAAGGTCTCTTGCGGTGCTCGGCATCGGGGCGTGAAAATGGTTGGCGAATAGGGGAGCACCGGCGTGGAATGGTATCATATGAGAGTGTATTGTTAAAAATAGCCACAATAACGTCTGCCAAGGTGATTCGGAATGCCATGCCATGCCGTGTGGGCGGAGCCGGGTTTAGCGAGAAACCGCCAATCCGGATAATGGGAATACCGATACTGTCGTTCGAGTGAGATACCGTGATAAGGGTCTGATCTATCCCGGCAGGATTAGGATGGCCACTTTTGCAGATCTAGTGACGGCGTCCAAACACTGTGTTTCTACTCGTACTATATAGCATACAAGTGTAAGTACCGGTAGGGCCAACAGCACCTGCCCAGAGCTCTACAACAAAGGCAAAGACAATTGGTGCTTTAATATTTAAGAGTTGTGCTCGTAATTGGTGAGGCGCCCCTGGTTCCCTTAACATGATCGTGTGGCAATTAATGTCTTTGCCCGAATCGCCCAATAGGCGGATACCGGTAACAGCAGGAAGGTCACAACTCTCACACTCACTCACCCACTCCGCTATTCAAACTTCATCACTCCATGCTTCACGACACCACCAAAATACCACCGTGAGCTTGAGTAAATGGCGAAAGGACACTGCCAACACTCCTCGAGCAATTACAAACCCAAGAATCCAAAATTGTGTGAGTTACTCACACCCATGAAGTTGAGCACTCGACTGTTTAAAATCAGGCCCAAAATCACACCGAGCTTGCGTACAGTGCGCAGGAAGGTGCCCTTGGGGGTTTCTCTGGTGTGCGAGGGCATTTACAGTGGGCCAAAAGTGCGGTACCGGTACTCGATGTGTAAATGGATCTTTTGCCGGTATGATATGATAGTAGTGACCACCACTGATCAAGCGCTAAGGCTGGGCACTGCAAACCCCTGAGAAGACTCGGTGATATCATGATAGCCTGTGGACCACAGATATAGGTGGCGCAAGGGGGCCAAAGTCAAAACTCCAACACCCGTTGAGAACCACTTCTGTCGAATGAGGTAATGGTGCAGTCCCTCGCTCCAAACTGATACTGGGGAAATGTAGATATCATTTGTTTTCATGAGTTATTAGAATACTTGTGGCTTTCAGACGCATGATAGCTAGAAATTTAGGTTTGACTTGCCGTTTATTGGTCCGACCAAACCAACCAACGCTGTTAGAAGTCTTTTTCCTCTTTTTTTTTTCCCCCCTCTTACTCGTTCTCCGTTTGAGATATGTACTGAAAGAACGAAGCCGGGAAAGGGAAACGAAATTGTTGGCCAAGTTTCGCTCCCTGGCAGTTAACAACGGGGCCGCAGGTTCCTCCCTCATTACGCAAATCCACGATCAAAACATCCTTGATCGGGCCTTTTGTCGGCGGGTCCGTATAAGCAGAGTAAGGGCAGAGAGGAAATTGGGCAAGGGAAATTGGCTCTGCGGTTATTTGTGTTACTGAGCCGTGCCCCAGAATTCCGGGCACGTTTGAAAAAAATTAAAAAAGCATCGTATGAGGGGCGCGTTTTCCGTGGTTCAACTAAAGGCTCTGAGGTCCATCCTAGGATGTTGTAAATCCTTTGGCAGGTGCCGGGAAACTTGAGGAACCAAACTACTCTTCAATTTCTACAGAATACAGGACTTATATACTATCTAACCTTAGCAGTCACTGTGGATGATCTGTCCAATACCAAGATCATTTTCCCATCTAGGCTTCCTAGCGTAGATACTATCTCGGCTCTCGCTTAACATATCCTCCGCTGAGGACTACAAGAGTCTTGAGAAGCAACTATTTCCGACACTCCCACCCTTCGAAAGACCCATGAAAGAATCTAGAAATATACAAGACATACCAAGTAAATCAAGTTTTCCTCCACCAGTGTGACCTCATTAAAAACCTCCCCAGATCCTTTGACTAGGCTGCTTAGGGGTAGGAAAAGAGTGTCACATACAATTTCCCTTAATAGAAAAAATAAAATAAACATAAGGAAAGTACAAAAGGTTTTAGACATTTCCATTTTCCATAACAACTCGTAATCCCAATGCTTCAACTAGGTTCCAGTGTGAAACTCGGGATAGAACCTTAGTTAAGATATCAGCTGTCATCTCAGCTGTTGGACAGTGAATGGTGGTGATTGTATTATTGAGTACTGCATCACGAATAAAGTGGTATTTGATGTCGATGTGTTTTGTCCATTCATGGAAGTGGGGCCTGGAACTGAGGTCGATCGCACTTCGGTTATCGATAAAGAGAGTTGTAGGAGCCTGAATTGATTTTCCGCTTAACTCAAAATGAAGTCCGCGAAGCCATAAGACTTCCTTCGTAGCTTCTGAAGCAGCGATGTATTCTGATTCTGTTGTCGATAATGCAACCAGTGATTGCTTCTTAGATCTCCATGCCACTGCTGCATTTGCCAATAATGCCACAAAACCACCAGTAGATTTTCGATCTTCTATATCTCCTGCAAAGTCTGCATCACTATATGCAAGGAGATCTGTACCCTTCTTGGATGTCTTAGTATATGTAAGGCCGAGGTTGATAGTTGCTTTCAGGTACTGAAGTGTGCGTTTTGCAGCACATAGGTGCTTATTTGATGCATTAGAATTGTATCTACTAAGATAGGCTACCGTGAAGGCAAGGTCAGGGCGTGTAGCAATAGCGAGGTACATCAGACTTCCAATTAATGACTGATAGGTTTTTTGATCCGTAGGAGATATGCTATCTTCCTTATCGTATGCTTGGATTCCCAAATCGAGCGGAGTTTGAACAGGATTACAGTTTTCCATCTGAAAACGTCGCAGGACTGTTAGAATGAATCCCGATTGACTTAGAGTGATACTCTCAGTAGATTGACAAATCTCAATACCCAGGAAACGGGTAGCTTTTCCCAGATCTGTCATTTTGTACTTCTGCTTCAATAGACTCTTAGTTCTTTTAATTTCCTCACTTCTTTCAGAAACCAAAAGAATATCATCCACGTAAAGTAGTAAAAAGAGTTTGCTTCCACCGTCTTTAATGTAAAGGTTAGGATCATAAGCGGAGTACGAGAATCTGATAGATTTTAAGAAGCAATCAATTTCCTTATACCAAAGAAATGGAGCCTGCTTGAGTCCGTAGAGTGCCTTAAGTAGGCAGCAGACTGTCCTGGAAGTATCATCCTTACTATCTTCAACTACCTTGGGGTCTAGCCATTCGATTCCTTCTGGCAACTCCATATACTCTTTTTTATCGATGTGTGGATTTAAGAATGCTCCAACCACATCCATGTGGTCAGCATAATAGCCGTTCTCTGCAGCCATTGTAATTAACATACGAAAGCTAGTCATCTTGGCTACAGGAGCAAAGGTTTCCCCATAGACTGTTTGCTCATAGCCCTTGATGACAAGTCTTGCTTTTGCCTTTTGTGAGCCATCAGGGTGTATTTTCATTCGATACACCCACTTGCATCCAATTACTGGCTTTCCACCTATAGCGGCACCTTCTGTAACCTTTTCATACTTCCAAGTACCATGCCTACACAGGCTATTAAATTCATCACGCATATCCTCTTGCCAGTGTGGATATTGTACTGCTTCATTGTAGGTAAGTGGATCGTCACCCACTACCATAGAAGGATTGGTACTTGTGATAGCTGCATTAGCTAATGAGTTTTTGAGCCGTGCAGACTGTCTACGCTGTAGTACCACACCAGTCGCTTTCTGTTTCAATAACTGAGGTACTATAGTCTGAGACTGAGTCGTAGACGTTGTTCTGGAAGCTGGTATGACTGACTCAAACTCTTTATCTTGATGGGCTTCTTCCACTTGAGTCCCGTCTTCTCCCTCATCAGAGAGATCAGACTCTATTGTTTCTATAACTCTTTGCTGCATTGGAAGAACTGAATCAAATATATCTTCGGTCGAGTCTAGAGAGCTAGGCAGTTTTGACTCATCAAATATGACATTGGATATGCGAATAGTAGTCTTCCTCTCAATATCTCATAGTCTCCAAATTGAGGGCGAAGCTGTATATCCAAGCATGATACAAGCTTTTGATCGATCTCCAAACTTTGAATCCTTTCATTGTACCTTGGGAATATGTCTATATGCTAGATATCCGAACCTCCGTAAATGCTGTAGTGTGGGCTTCGTACCATAAAGCATTTCATGAGGTGATTTATTGTTTATAGAACGCGACGGAGATAGCGAGTGAAGATATACTGCTGTGTTAACTGTCTCTGCCCAAAGAGGAGCTGGAAGATGAGCATCCAGTAGCATTGCTCTTGCTTTGCATAAGATAGTCTGAATCATGCGCTCACTAATGCCATTCTTGTGCTGCGAGTATGGAGGAGCTGGCTGAAACTGTATACCAGTTGCACGAAGTATTCCACGGAAGAAGGAGTTGTCGTATTCACCTTTGCCATTATCACATCGGAATTGTGATATTTTCCACTGTGGAAACATTCCAGCTACTCTTTCATGGAATTCTTGAAAGCGACCCGTCACTTCCTTTGCCTCCTTGGTCTGTAGAAAATAGACCCAACAAAATCTTGAAAAGTCATCCACGTACAGAATAAAATATCGGGCACCGGAATATGAGACACATTTGAAAGGACCACAAAGATCAGAGTGTATTCTCTCCAATGGTCTGGAAGCCCGAGGAACTGGTTTTTTGATAGGTTGGCATCGATGCTTACTTTTGATACAGGTATCACAGATTTCCAAAATTTTGACATCTTTAGTGCCAATCAGTTTACGAACTGCATTATAGTGGAGGTGCCCAAGTCTTTCGAGCCACAGTTGTATTTCACTTGGCTTCGACTGGGGAGCTGTTGTAAGCAAGAGGCTTTCAGTTGATGACCGATCAGTTGCTCCAGTTTGCACTGGTACCGGTACTTCGTCAATTGAAACCTCAGGAAACATGGTCGCAGATCCCTTCTGAGACTTTCTGATTGGCTTGCCATAGAGCTGCCAAAGCCCACGCCGAAGTACCGCAATGGGAATTTGTTTGGACCCAATTTGAGAACGGGAGATATAGCAGATATTATCTCGAAAAGTAACCGCAAACTGAGGTGTCAGGCGGCTAATTGACAACAGAGAATATTTCATTTCTGGTGCATAGAGGGCATTAATATCAATGAACTCTGCTTTGGATAACAGTAGGCGAACAGTGCCCTTAGCTCTGGCAAAAACCTGCTGCCCATTTCCTAGCGTGATTGGTACCGGTTGAGCTAGAACCTTTAGGCCGTAAAATAATGTACGATCT